ATATAATTGGGCTGGAATTTTGCCAGATAATAACAACCAAAAGGGCAGAAAGAGACAATTATTCACTTACTCTCTCACCGAAGACTAAAAGTAACCAAATCCACACTCACAGCCTATAGTAGGTTTTGACTTATGGACCCTCCATGCATTTCTGAGGCTGTAAATCTTTATGGGAGGAGACTAGACATTCTTCCTCTGGAGCTCATTAAAGAAAGTATTAGCATATGCAAAAGAGTGGTCATAATGAAAAACTACAAATTTTTAGCTGAGAAAGAAGAAAAAGGAGACAAGGTGTTAGCATCTGCAGTTCCAAATGAGGGTGAGGAATGAAAGAAATCAATCTTGAATGACAATATCCTACAAAACAAAAATATACCAGAAATATAATGGGAATTTAGAACAGTACTTTTAAACAAGTCAAAGAAATAAGAGCTGATTAAATTGTACAGCTTCTCCTTTGCTTGGGAGTTTCAAACATGGATGACTTCTCTATTTTTCAGGAGATACAAGTGCTTAAAGCATTCATTCATCAAGCAAGGAAGATGGAACTCGGATAAGTCATCATTCTATCTTGAACTCTTACAGGGAAAAATTAAATGTCTGAGGGCAACTCTGATCTAATTTGGATTCTGGGACTAATAAATGCCTTGTTCTGTATGTGTTAAATTGAGAAGAAAACTCTGTAGAGTATCAGAGCTACTACCTGTTCAATAAAGCATAATTGATCATCTCCTTGCTTACCACCTGAATAATGAATGTCTGACATGTAAAAATGGTAAATGTCATCACAGTTTGCCATATTGTACCCAGAAGAATAAAAAGTTTATCTAGTCACCTTAATTTACAGATAAGTAAGCTGAGACCTAAGGGAATGAATATGCTAATTCCTTGCCTGAAATCTTTCATAACAGTATCATCATTTAGAGTGTAAAGGTTCAGCCTTAAAAGTCACCTCGTCGTTTCTTAATATGTGAGGATTGTTTCCCTAGTGTATTAGATTTTTAATTCATTTTTTAAAGATGTGTCATTAATTTTCTCTGTATGAGTCATCTTGTGTTTCACTTCCATGATACCTCCTGTATTCATCCTAATAATTAAGTGAACAATGGCATTTCTAAGTTCTATTTAACTTTTTTATTAAGAAAGATTTAACTGATTAAAAGCTTCCAAAATTATTCTCTGAAAAATGATCAAATGTTGATGTTACCCAATAGGGGATGGTATACTTAGAAACATGTCTCCATTCTGCCCTTGACTCTGGAAGGAAATGACATTCTAATTAATCAACTATGGTGAATCAAATTAACTTAAGAATGAGAAATCCTTCAGTTTAGCTTCAAGGAAGTGAAATATATTGATAGTATAGGACTTTGAAAATGTTTCACGATTTTTGCATTTAATATTGAAACAAACTATTCCATTACATGTATTGGCTTCTTTTTTGTACACTATTTTTCAATGTTTTAAAAATAAAAATTCTTTTTTGTGACTAATTGGGATATTAACTTGTGTTTGTTATATGCAAGAGTCTCTTTTCTATATTTTATATGAAAATATAGACATTGAGAAAAGTTGGTATTTCTGAATATTGAAAAAAGTGTAGAAGTCTGTTTCTGTTTCTGTGAATGTATGCCAAGGAACAAAATAGCCAAATGTATAAAATTATATTCAACAAGGATGATCATAGCAACTGTTTGTAAAGGTGAAATTTTAGTAGCCGCCTCCATGTACAGTACTTATAAGCATGGTCTAATTTGATTAAATTATAATTCTTCCATAACATGTAATAGCTCACTATAAGAATAAATGGATTTACATCCTTAATATATTAATTTAAATTCTGCCTCACTGATATTAATAGTAGCCTAGAAGAACAAGGTAGAGCTGCTTTGTAGGGTTTCCAAGGCTGTGAATCTTTACAGAAGCCAACTGCGACATCTTCCTACATAACAATTAGTGGGCTTGAACCACATACTGGCCTTTGATTAATAGTAAAATGCTTTAACCACTGTGATTCCAAGGCTTTTAATATTTTCACCTATCATGTTACTTTTACTTTTAAAACTATTGTTTCAAAACAACTATGAGATATCCTCTCACCCCAGTCAGAATAGCAAAATTTAACAGAACAGCAAGCAACAAATGCTGGTGAGGTTGGGAGAAACTGGAACCTTTATTCATTGTTGGTGGGAATGTAAAATGGTGCAACCACTGTGAAAGGTGGTATGGCGCTTTCTCAAAAAGTTGCAAATAGAGATAACATTTGACCCAGCAATTCCACTACTGGGAATATATCCCAAAGAGACCATAACTGACATCCACGCAGATATATGCACACCCATGTTTATCGTGGCTTTGTTCACAATAGCAAGGAGTTGGAAACAACCTAGGTGCCCAGCAACAAATAAATGGATAGAGAAGCTGTGGTTTATTCACACAATGGAATACTATGCTGGATTGAAAAGCAAGGAACTCATGCAATATTATTCAAAATGGGTGAACCTGGAGGACATTATGCTGAGTGAAATATCTCAGTTGCAAAAGGACAAATATTGCATGGTGCCACTGCTGTAAAATGGGACTGATATCAGGGTAGGGGTAATACTGAGAAAAACTGGGTAAATTGTGTATGCTGCACTGAAACAGATGAGGGAGAGAATAATTTAAAAGCTGTGTATGATAGGGTATTATGGTTATCACAAGAGTCCACAATTAAGGTTGCATAGTGGAATGTATTTGGGGCGGCGGGAGGGATGCAGGTGGATTGTGTCCCAGGGAGGGAGTGTTTCTTTTGCTTTTCAAAGAGAGGAGCGAACTGCGTGGGGTAGGGCTGGGCGGGGAGAGAAGTGAAGCAATGAATAAATGGAAGTCCAAAATCTCTGTAAATGTTCATTAAAATTATTAAAAAAATATAAAAAATATTATTTACAGAAGTGTGTAATATATATGTATGTGTGTATACATATATACATACATACATACATATAGAAATGCATGTATTTATGTATGTATGTATACACACATATGCCAAGAACACAATTAAGTGAAGAGGGTACAACTAAGTTTTTCCTTGGAGGCTAGGATTTTGAAGCTTCGTCTCACATACTTTGGGTGCATGGCCAGGAGGGATCAGTCTTGGGAGAAGGACTTCATGCTTGGAGTGGTGGAGGGACACCGCAGGAGAGGAAGACCCCAGATGAAATGGATTGATACAGTAACTGGGGCAATGGAGGCAGGTACGTCAGAATCAGTGAGACTGGATCAGGACAGGACAGGCTTCAGAGCTGTTGTACAAAGGGTCGCTATGAGTCTCAAGCGCCTTGATGACACATAACAACAACAACAGCATATAGAGATATAAAATGTATGTTGTTGTTGTTGTTGTTGATTGCCTTTGAGTCGAGCACAACTCATAGCAACCCTATAAACAAATGGCCTGAAGCCATTTATTATTATTGACAGTTATCAAAGTTCATAGAGTATCTGTTATTTAGGAAGTGGATGCCACTCCTGCTTCCAAAATAAAATGTATAGTATGACTTTATTGAAGTATATATTTGTGTGTGTGCACACATATAAATATGTTATTATACTAAAATATTTACTGAGTACCACTGTTGTTGTTTGTTATTGTGGTTGTGTACGATAGCGTCGGAACCAACCCTCACGTGTGTTTTCAGCTGACCCTCAGGCAGGTTTTCAGAGGCAGTTACTCACACAGGAGGTGGTTGTCCATCTTTCTCTCGCAGAGTAGCTGGTGGATTTGAGCTGTGTCTTTGGGATTGCAGTGCAGCTTCTTGCCACTAGGCCACCAGAGCAAGTGGAGGCACCCAATTCTTTGATAATGAAAGCATGCGAATATATGGCATTTTAAAAAATGTTGTGCTTTATCTTTATGAATTCTTGTTGTTAGGTGCCATAAAGTGATTTACAACTTATAGTGACCCTAGAACAATAGTTCTGAACCCTGTCCTGAGCCATCCTTATCATCCTTACCTTACTTGAACCCACTGCCACAGTCGTTGTATCAATCCACCTCACTAAGGGTCTTCCTCTCTTTCACTGACCCCTCTATTTTTCCAAGCATGATGTCTTTTTTCAAGAAATAATCTGTCCTTGAGGAAGTCAAATATATAATCCATATTTTGCAAGGAATATGCCCGAATTATGTGAGACAGAGCTTCATCATCATTGCCTCAGAGCACTCACTTTGCTGCACCATCTCCAAGGCATGTTCTTTTGACAATCCATGTGATGTTCAGTGCTCTTCTCCAACACCACAGTTCAAAGGCATCAGTTCTTCTTCTGTCATCTTTATTCACTCCCTGTGCAGCTCTTGGATGCATAGCAAGTTGATTGAAAAGACCATGCCTGAATCAGGTGCACTTTAGTCTTTAAACTGATATTGTTACTCTCTAGAACTTTGGAGAAGTCCTTGACAGCAGACTTTCCCAATGCTATATATGTCTCTTGACCTACTGACTTCTGGTATCAAGGGTGTTGGTTGTGGTTCCAAGTAAGATGAAATCATTGACAGTTTCAATCTTCTGCATATCTATAATGATGTTGCCTATTGGTCCATTGGTGAGGATTTTTATTTTCCTAATGTTGCGATGTAGTCCGCATTGAAGGCTTTATAATCCTTGATCTTCAGCAACATATGCCTCACACCGCCTCACTTTCAGCAAAGGAGGAATTAGATGTGCTTTCATAGTATAAAAACCCAAAAGTTTACATACTAAATAACTTAATGTAAATGTAAAGAATTAGAAATCATTTGTTTTCCCTGAGGGGATATATATATACTTTTTTTTTATTTTCTGGCAAAATACTTGCTTTATTATATTGGTATTTATACTGACGGTTAGGCTTCATTGAACCATTTGATTTTATATCTTCAATGAATTTAGTTAGAGAAATGATCTTAGGGCAAATAAATGTCTGATTGCATTGTGTATAATGTTTACAAGTTCATTTTGATTTTTGTTTTTCCTTTACAGGTGATGACACCCAGATCCAGCCTGAAAGACGAGTATATACAGTAAGTCTGCCTCCCACGGGATATGTTCCATGTTTGCCAGAGTCAAACACTAGTTTAAAGTCTGAGAACTCCTGCAGCAGTGATGACATAGAAGGTAAAGTTTTTATCCTTTGTGGATGGAAAAGAAAATTTCTCATCTTTGAAGATAAATGTTTTATTACTATTAAGTTTGTCTGAATTTATAATTAGAAGGGTATGGATAAACACAATTGGTAGCATCAGGATGAATGGCGAAGAGATTGAGATTGTTCACAGCTTCAGTTTGCTCGGCTCCACGGTCAACACTCTTGGCACCAGCAGCCAAGAAATCAAAAAACATATTGCAATGGGAAAGTCTGCAGTTAGGGACCTCTCTAAAGTACTCAAGGGTAACGGTGTCTCTCTGGAGACTAAGGTGCACCTGATACAGGCCATGGTCTTTGCAATCACTTATTATGCATCAGAGAGTTGGACAATGACTAGGGAAGATGGAAGGAGAATTGACGCTTTTGAGCTGTGGTGCTGGAGAAGAGTATTGAATGTTCCATGGACTGCCAAGAAAACAAACAGATTCATCCTAGAGAGCGTTAAACCAGGCTATTCCTTGGAGGCAAGGATTCTGGGGCTTCGTCTGACATACTTTGGACATGTAAGGAGAGACAGGTCCTTGGAGAGGGACATCATGCTTGGTAGGGTAGAGGGACAGCGCAAGAGGGGAAGACCCTCTATGAGGTGGATTGATTCAGTGACTGGGGTAATTGGGATGGGTGTGTCAGAGGCAATGCGATTGGCACAGGATAGAGCAGGGTTTAGGGCTGTTGTACATAGGGTCGCTGTGAGTCGCAAAGGACTCGACGGCACATAACAACAACAACATGGATAAACATATAATTTTATGACTACACATGGACTATTCCATATTTTTTTGACTATTCCATATTTTCTAGTCATTAAAATTATTGTAAAAATGAATGAGAAATGTTGTTATTGTTAAGTGCTGTTGAGTCATAGGGGACTCATAGCAACCCTATGAACGAAAGTCCTGGACACTTGTATAACTTTCATCCTTTCTCCAGGCTCATAGTGTTTCCAGAGGCAAGCCATTTCAGAAGTGGATGCCACTCCTGCTTCCAAGCTTGTTTTAATCGGGAAACTCCACCAAACACTGTCCACCATGGGTAACCATTATCACATTTGACACATCAGTGTCACAGTGTTCAACTTCATAGCAACCACAAGTTACCTCATAAGGCAAGTGGACACACCTGGGCTATATGACCTAGAAGAATGTTTGACCAAAAACAATTAAAAACAGGCCTGAGGGCCATGGATTAAAGTCACCAACGTTTGGCTTGATAGCATCACTTTCTGTCCACTAGGTCAATTGCTATCTCTCTATGCTGTTGCTGTTCTTAAGTGCCGTCGAGTCATAGGTGACTCATGGTGACCCTTCAGCTGAGTGGCAAATATGACATTGATATATTATTAGTGAGACCCTACCTATTTTGGAGGTAATGGTTTTTGTGCTCCCTCTGACATATTTTGGACATATTGCCAGGACGGACCAGTCCTTGGAGCAGGACGTCGTGCTTGGAAGAGTAGAGGGACTGTATAAGAGGGGAAGACCCTGGAGGAGATAGATTGACAGTAACTGGGCTAATGGGGGTAGGATTGTGGGAGAAAGTTATATTGGCTCAGGATAGGGCAGGGTTCAGAGTTACTGTGCATAGGGTCACTATGAGTGGCGGTCTACTCAAGAACACATAGCAATAATCACAATTTTGTTAATATGTTAGAAGAAATCTCAAGTGAATTACATAAAAATATTAATAGTACTTGTTTTGGTTTTGTAGAACTTTTTATGATCCATAATTGTTTCAGAATCTCTATGATATTATAGCATGTTTGTAATAATGGAAATTACTCATTCTAAATCTATTTTGGGGAATATGCATTAATAAATTTGTTGTCATTGAATGCCTTATAGATGAAGACTATAAGGCAGGCAGAGAAGTGAGAGTAGACAATCTGATTACCTACGACAGATGGAAGTGCTGATGTTGCACTTTTAAAATTTTATCTTGAAAATTGATATAGTGGTGTTTGTTTTTCCTTTAAATTGATGTTTTAAAATCTTCCGGGGGAGGAATATTTTTAAATAAACATTTTACCTCAATGATTTCCTGAATAAAAAGTAATACTAGATTTTTTGGAAGAGGTACTTCCATAAAGGGATGGACCAAACCACCCCAGAAAGAAGGTAATGGAGGAAGGGCAAGTGCTGTAAGGGAGGTCAGGGAGGTCATATTTATGGATTCCTTCTCTGGGTGTGCTTTGGGCCTGAAGCTTGGCCAATGAGAGGCCATCATGGAGAGTTCAAAGGTTTGTGGTTGTTGTTGTTGTTACTGTTATTGTTATGTGCCATCAAGTCCCTGGGACTCTTAGGTACAACAGCCCTAAACACTACTCTCTCCTGTACCAAACTTATTGTCTTCAACACACCTACATCCATTACTCCAGTCACTGAATCAATCCATCTTCATCGATGGTCTTCCTCTCCTGCGCTGTCCCTCCACCCTCCCAAGCATGATGTCCTTCTCCAAGGACTGGTCCCTCCTTACAACATAGTCAAAGTAGGTCAGACAAAGCTTCAGAATCCTTGCCTCCAAGGAGCCATTTATATGAAGTAGAAAACTTAAACAACATGCTATAGACTTTAGTTAATTTGAATACCCAGAGAATGTGGTTTTCTAGGACATTGACTTTTCTGGCTTTCTAATTAAAGAACCAAAAACCACAAAACAAAACATAGAACAGTTAAGGAGTAATGTATTTGTATTTTCAAGCCCAGCTGAAATCTTTGAAATACAGTTAATTAGATTAATTAGGTACCTAGAAAATCTAATTAGGGTCTGATGAAGATAAATTATTTTGACGAATATGCTTCATGTACCTAGTAAGTTTAGCAAGAAAATATGTTAGACTCATTCACATGCAATTTCATTTAGCTCTGTTATGGAAGTCAATACAAAAGTGTCTATGTGAGGTTATCCTGGTTTAGTAACCTTCACTTTGTCTGCTTTATGACCACATATCTTGTCCCAAAGTGGATAGAACAGGGCCCAAGCATGAGTGCTGTCATTATACGAAATGGAAAGGTATTGGTACCAAATAGACAAATATTCTTGTAGACAAGAGTATCTATTTGTATCGTATCCTGTGCAGAGGTGTCTTTGGGAGATTAGGTAGACTCAAATCCTAACAAGTTTCTTTTTTTCATTTCTTTGGGCACTGATCTAAGTAAAATTAGAAAAACAGTAGAGACTCTGGCTCCAGCTACTCTTCTAACAGTTATAATTTGGTTATAGAAAACCCTCATTTCTCACAAAACTGAAAAAGCAAATGTTTATATTCGAAAACTACAAGTGAGGAAAAAGGAGAATTGAATAATGTTAAGATTTCACTTAAGTTGTACTGATAACCTGGCTTGGGTAACTTATATACCAATATTTGTTGTAAGTTACTCTAAGTTTTTATAAGTTATTTCTTAGGTAAAATTTTCCTGTTACTTTATTATTTTTTACTATAGTTGTACTGAAAACCTGGCTTGGGTAACTTATATACCAATATTTGTTGTAAGTTACTGTAAGTTTTTATAAGTTATTTCTTAGTTAAAATTTTCCTGTTGCTTTATTATTTTTTACTATATTACCTTATACCGGTCAATACTGAGAGAACCCTAAATGCAGTCTTCTCTTCCTAGTGGTAGATGTTAGGGAAGAAAGTAATGGAAACACTGATAACTGCTGAAGGAGTAGGTTGACGCACCTTGGTTTTCCCCAGAGAAGTGAGAAGATCAAATAAGAAAATTGTTTTAGGTCCAATTAGTCAAGTTGGATATTGCACCAGTAGGGGGCAGGGCATTCTGTCACTTAATAACCTAGGATTATGTTTTGATCCATGCTGACTTCTTACACCTTGATCAGTTACCTCTGACTCATGATTTTTCCTGAACCTGTAGCTGAATGCCAACTCATCTACTGTTTTCCAGTTATGACTGCTATGTTTGCTTATCCACAATGACTCTGGTACTTACTAGATTATCTTTCTGCAATAAGACTACTCTGAAACATCTCAACCTGTCTTCCCACTGTTGAACCATCCTACATCAGTCAGTGACTAAATGACTTAACTTTGCGTTTCAGAAGCAGTTTCTTCAAAAGACGTTTCCCCCTCCATTCAAGTTAGTAAGTTAATAATAAAATATTAGCTTTTTTTTTTTTTTGGAAGAGCTATGGACAACTTATTAATCAAATTCAGGAAGTCATTGTGTTTAAACATTTTATTCATCTCCTAATGTTTCTTTTTGGGGTTATTTTAAATTATCTATTTCTTCAAATATCTTTTTTATCTCAGTGTAAGCTCTGTGAAGAGGGCCAAAAAGGGCATTTCTTTCAAATGATAAAGTTAGGGGGGAAAATGTTTTCATCATATAATCATATACTGTTCACATGAGCTTCCTATTTTTGCTCTCTGAAACAGAATAATATTCTGATAAAGCAACATTGCTTTTCACTTGATAGTTACAGAGCCAAATTGAAACTTGTACCACTTCCGAGCCTACATTTTCTTAATTACCTTTGACCACCCACTAGATTCTTTATACTGTCTGACCGTAGGATTAAGGAATACAATCTGTCCTGGTCTTGAAATAAGAAATAATAGTTCATTAATCTATATGCTCTCCTGTCTCTTACTCTACTGCCTCTAATAATAGATATGAAAATAAGGCAGAAAGGAAGTCAGAAGAATGAGAAGGAGTGAAAGATACTTTGAATTCTTAAGGTTGCAGTTTTTAAGCAAAGGGAACAGGAGAAGTAAAATTGGTAAAGAAGAGAAAGTTGATTTATTAACAATACCAGAATTCCCTGGAATGACTTTGTTGTTGTATACTACTGTTGAATTGGAACCACTTCATAGCTGACCCTCCAGCAGGTTTTCAGAGGCAATATATCTCATGGAGGCAAATTGCCCCTCTTTCTCCCACGGAGTGGCTGGCAAATTGAATCTGTGTGTCTTTCAGTTGGCAGCATACCTCTTTACCAAGCAACCTAT